TCCCTGATGTGCTCCACAGCAAAGAAATAGAGAAGCCTGGGTCCCTGAGAGTTGAGATATTCCTTTAGTTCCTCATCGACAGAGGATCCCAAACCTATTAGACTTTGGATTCTCACAGTTCCTGCCTTAGAAAGTAACTAGTTTCTTCTACGCTCATGAACACTTACAGGTTTTCCTGTCCAAGGCTGCCTAGCCTTGCTTTTGGTCTTCTCTCTTCAGAAGGCTGCCTGGACCATTAACTGTGCACTTTCAGGGCTACAGACTCCATGGAATCCCCGAGACTGTAGTCGCCTGGAATCATTAAGACAGCTCCTGTGACAGCCACTTCCAGTCTTAAGGATGGAAAAAGATAACCCTGTCTTTCCAGCATGGCTGCAGGAGTTTTGATCAGATTCCAGATATCAATATGCAAATAGGTCAGAATCCCACCTGCAAACCGGCAGTCTCTCTTTTGAGACAGTAGCTTACATTCTCATTAAGTGCCTCTTTGTGAGACTAATTTTCACCTCAAATTCCCTGAAATTCTCACTCTCAAATATTTCAATCACCAATTCACCCAAAATGATGAACAAGACTGAAGCAGAATGTCATGTGATGCCAAGACCCTTTGGGAGATTTTAATTGAAGGGCATAAAAATCTCCAATAGTACAAATAATCTCAACTAATTTCAGTCCAGACCAGATGACAAGGCAAGTGACGATGAATTAAAATTACAGATAAACACATTGGGAACAGATGTCAGAAAGAACTTTTTCCCCAATACCAAAAGTCTTATATATGCAGAAAAACCCTCCAAAGTCATTGGCAACATTGAAGACACAATTAGAGACAATTATGAGGGAATAAAACCTTAAGGAATGTGTTGAGAATTCTGAGATGCATCAAATGATTAGTGTTTTCCTGGAGTAATCATGAGAACACATGGTCAAGACAGTTCATTAGGTCCCCCCTTTTCACTGAAAGCACTGGCAATACTTGAGCAAGCTTTTCCTGTTGGGACCACATTCCTGATTTTCTGCCTTCTTTCTAGGTGGGATCACTACCCCTTCTTCATCTCATGGTCTCACAACTTCAAGAAGACCAGCTCCTGTGACAACAATTATCATAAGATAATGATGAGAGTAAAGAAACTTATGCTGCTGGGAAAAGGTGTTCTAGGCATTGGAGAAATTGTAGCTGTGGATATTGCTGTTCTGTGAGGTGCTTCTAGGCGGCCAAGTCCTTGGGCCCTAGCCTCTCCCTGAACTATGTCCATCATCTTGATTCTGTGTGTGCCTTTCCTAAAAAGCCTATAGTCCTTTCCTTAGGGATTGTCTAACTACATACTAATAGCCCTGGGGATTTAACCACTTCCTCACTGGTTTACCTTCATTTTTTCTCTACAGGGCATAGGAGTTAGTTACATCATTTAGCATGACCCAAGATTTCAAAGGCAAGGTATCCAAGCCCCAAATCTTAGTAATTGTTCTACTGATATAATAAACACCCTCAGTCAGTCAGAGCTTCATATTCTTGACTCTAAGGTCTTTGGCTTCATTTCCACCAAAAGAAAATCTCCGCAAAGCTATAGTCTATTTTTTCTTTCTTTGAAAGCCAATGGGAGTGGAAGGAAGCTATTTAGCCATGTAAGTAAATGGGTATGACTCAGTTAAAAAAAAAAGTTTTTTACTCCACCAACTAGTTATAACTTGAGAAAACAAATTATAACTCATCAAAATGGGTTTTAGCATTATTTCATATAGGCAATATTTAGAGCCTATTAGATGGTATTAACATAATCGCATTCAAAGTCACTGACATAGAAATCATGTAGTCTACACAGTAGAAACCCATTTTCAAATACCTTGTCTCCTACATTCCAGAATCAGTTCACAAAATGCTATCATTGTAACTTCTTTTTTTACAAGTTGGAGAGCTATATGGATATTACATAATCAGCCAATTAAGGTCAGAAAACCAAAAAAATCCCCTCTGTGCTTTCCCAAATTCCCATTCTGAACTTCCTTTTTGGGTCCATTGGAATCGTAATGAAAATAAACCTTAGAAAACTTCAGCTCTCCAAGCAGACATGAGCAACGTTTTGACTTAAGAGTTCTGAGGAAAGATACCGTCATAGGATAACGAATGAGTTGACATTCACAGTGGAGCGTGGAGCAGGGAGAGATGATAAATATGCTAATTGAAGAGCCTTCCTTGCAGGTATTGAAAGAAGCCACAGCCACTTCAGTAATCAATACCATCAGGGTGTCAGAGCATACAGCTGAAATCACAGCACCCTGCTAGTCTCTTAAATATGCATTTCAGGTCATTGGGCTGTCACCTCTCCACTTACATGCTGCCCACCAGACAACCTCAATCCACAAAGCTCATGGCTTTTCTATTTCTATGCAAGATAAAAATTGCTTTAAATAGAAATTGGGTGCTTCTCACCCTTTCATTGCTTTCTGTTTTAGAGAGGGAAGAGGCAGGAGGAGGAGGAGAACTCAATAATGTGCCTTTGAGGAGACCCACTAGACTGTCCAGTCATCAGAATAGTAACTGTCCAATTCCCACCTCCTGTTGGCAAGATTCCACCCAGGAAGCATGAATGCAGAGGAAAAGGTAAAAGACAACTAGAAGTCAAGGTGAAGAATATTGCCCACAATATTGTTAGAGACTATTAATTTACTTCTAGAGACACTCTTGGGAAAGAAATTGGAACTAGGAGATGGGGAGTAAAATCCATGGAAAACAGTTTGCGACAACAGACTTGAGCTCCACGTAGGGGGCTTTATTAATTATCATAAAAATCTTGGGTGTGCATGAAAGGGAATCACCTATGCCTAGTCACTTTCCAACTGACTGAGGTGCAGAACAACCCACAGCACACAGACAGGTGAGCTGGAGCTCCGGATTCTCTGCAGTGGAGCAACAGAAAAGGAGACATCGGCAACAGTGATCTTGAAAGGGGCCATGGTCAGCAATTAATACATCCTATATCCCAGACTGAATTATGACAAGGGAATAAATAGAAAAACCCAAAAAAACCCATGAACCCAATGACTTCATTCAACTCACTCCCCATACAAAGACCTTCCCCATCTTATCTTTTCTGAAGACATGCTTCGATTCCTATCAAAATACAGATATCAAAGAGCATGAATAACTCTCTCTATCCTCTCTCATGTAATCATCTCCAAAACATTGCATCCAGTGCCTGGTAGTGTCCTGGCTGAGAAGAAAGCAGCTGTAAGAAAAACATCTTTCATTTCAGATTGGCCCTCGATATGATTTAATCTGTGAAGATGTATTCCTGTCTCCCAGCTTTCCCACAAAGCCAAGTAAGGTTTGGTAAGAGACACATGTTGCCAACAAAGGGCATCCTGTCTGAGTCAACTTTTCAGTAAAATAACACATTGGTCAATGTCTTCATTGGTACAGAAATGCGTACATTCTGGAGAAGTGCTAGCGGAAGCAGCAGCACCTGGTCTATTTTAAAATGGGTCAAAGCAATGAAATTCTTTGTGACTGTCTATGAGATAATCAATGACTGTTCTAATGAAACCATAAATCAGAAAGTATTTACATACACTGAGTCCCACCTGTCACCTCAACAAATAGCAACTGATAGATTTTGCATTAAATTATAAGACCTATCTAACAATCATATCAGTCACCAGTGAATGCATCCCTCTGAAAAGTCCAGTCAATCTTTCCAGAGCATCTCAGCTGCAAATATATTTATCTCCACGAAAGCAGATAAATCAAGGGAGGTACTCTGATGGCATGGTTAGCATGTCACTCATTCTAACAAGCATTTTTGGTTATCAACATACTAAAGTTTCCTAGGTTACCAAAATAAACAGTTCTTTCATAACCAACCAGAGAGAAATCAGATGAAGTTGAATATACTCCATGATAAAATATGCAACTTTTTTTTTGCAACCTTTTTATATATCAGAAAGTACTGGGGGAAGAGAGAACCCAGCATATTATGAGTTGCCACCTATTTTTGTAAATAAAATGTTATTGGAACACAGAGCCACCCATGCAGTTTACCTAGTGTGTGTCCTGCTTTTGCAATACAACAGTGAAATTGAGTAGATGCAACAGAAACCTTCTAACACTACAATGTTTAGAATATTTCTTTTCTGTGGCCCCTAATAGATATTTTCCAACCCCTAATAGATATTTTCTATTTAAAAAAAAAGATAAGAAAATCAAAGTAAAATCTGAGGTTGCCTAAGCTAAACTGTGTGTCTACATTCCTTAAAGGTAAGTCAAGAAGAATTTAGCTCCTGGGCATTTGAAAATGTGGAGAAAGATCTGTGGTGGGTACACTTTCAAAACAATAGCTATAGATTTAGCTGAATTTGGGTTTTTTTAAGATTCTGAATAAATTTTAGGTTCTCCTAGTCCATCTAAGTCTGCCTGGTGAGACATTTCAGAGAGCATGTGTGTAATATTTTGAGCTGGGGTTTGAAGAAAGAATAAATTTGGGGGTAAAGGGAAGCCAAATAATTTTTCCTAAAGCAATGAGGTATTACTTACTTGAATAATTTTTTCCTTACAGGAAGTGAAAATAAATATAAGGTAAGAAAGGATCCACTATAAGTCTTCCTCTGACAGATGTAGGAATTGTGCCATAGGAAGGGATGAAAAGAATGTTTCTCCCACTTACGAGAAACATGTAATGATGATGACATGGTTATTTTAAAAACTGCTACTGCAGGCACGACCACTATCATTATTATGGAAATTAACATTTATTTTATATGTATATGTGCCAGGCATGATGCAAGGTCCTAATGCATTATATCACTTAATCCACACAGCAATTCTTTGAAGTAGAAACTATTACCTTCATTTTATAATTGAGAGTATGACTCAGAAAGAGTTAATGTTATTTTCCAAGTAACAGGGGCCTTTGCAACTATGTTGACTCTTTTCATTAAACCCTCACACCACACACCCCATGTCCAGCCCCACCCAAGCACAGCCCACCACCATCCCCACCTACCTCTACAGACACTGCAGCACTGGTTCTCTGGGAGAATGTGATCCTTTTCTGAGCAGTTCAAAGTAGGGCATGCTTCTGTGATTTTGACTAAAACTCCACCCTGGAAGTCAAAGGAAAGGAAAAAAAGTTCATATTTCTAGTCAATGATACAAATGTATATAATGTTCATTGTGAACAGCCTGCAGTGATAACAACCCACAATAATTAACAGTGCTTCCAGAAATTCAAGCAATTATGACAAATTTACAGATTAAATTGAGAAGACTCCTGGAAGTAAAGGCAATTTTTCTTTTTTGTATCAAGAGTCTTAATTTCTATAAATGGTTTTCGAGTATCTTCTCTGTAGCAGATGGATGCTAACAGTGCTGGTAAATTTTTATCAATTAAATGTTGGGCAGGGAGTCCTGATTACAACACTTGATTTTTGTGATGTAAGTCCCCCAAAGGTAGCTGATTGTGAGCTACCAACATTACTACCACTGAACACATGGTTAGGAAATTATGGCAGTGAACTCTCGTGAACTTCTATGAATTTTTCATTGGATCACAACTATTAATGAGGTATCTTACCCATGAAGAGCTCACAATTTGTGTAAGTGGGGGGGAGGAAACCACTTTTTCAAAATTAATTTATTTTTAAAATTGTATAAATGTAAATTTGTTCTTACATCATTGTTAATTTTGGGAGACAATGACAAACCTTGAAAGCTGATCACAGATATGAGGCATCCAGGAGGGGAGGGGAGTAGAGGAGGTAAGGAGGGGTAGAAACAGGGAAGGGGGAGCATAAGGAAATATGGTGATGGACTCTGGGTGCTTTGGTGGTGGAACAACTATGCTAACACCTGAGGGGAGAAACCACACACTGACCAAACAGATGACTGGATCAAGAAGATGTGGCATGTGAACACAATGGAGTACTACTCAGCAATCAAAAAAGATAAACTTATGCCCTTTACAGCAACCTGGTTGGAGCTGGAAGAGTTGATGTTAAATTAGAAGGAAAAGAAATCTCTTATTCTGGGAAGCAAAATACTGTACAAAAAAGCCCTAAAATATATCCTCTAATACAGATATTATGTGCCGGGAAAGAATCTGTTCATTTTGTTCAGGTGGGGCGAAATTATGCAGAAGGGACCACAGGTAGGAATCTTGAGAAACAGAAGAGGCAAGGCAAACAGTATAAATAAACTGAATGAGGGTTATTTAAACAAGCACCAGATTTTCCCCTTGATATGAATAAAATTTTCAGCAGGTGAATCTTTATGACACCTATTCACCAAAGGTCCTCTATGTTGACATTACTAGCATCTGCATGGAGGTTTACTCTGAATTTTAAAAATCCATCCATGAGTTACTATAAAAATGCCTTATTTTAGCTAAAACTTTTCATTTTTTTCTCTCCCATAATTAACAGAATGTGTAAGTCAACCAAGAAGCAAGCTTGAGAAGGAGTGTCCTGTTTAAAGCCAAAAGGTAATTCTCAACAGACATGGGAAAACAGGCTAGCGCTGGAGGGTCAAGGGGGGTGGAAGATCCCGAGTTTCCCATCTCCAAGAGACTGTCATTCAGTGGCCCCTGTATCATTTGATTTGGCAGCAAATCTCATTATATCAGCACATCCATTCTTAAATATGAGTATACACATAACTTTAAATGCCAAATATTAATTTAATTTCCAAAGACTCATCTTCTGAATTATTTGCACCACAGCTGCCTGCTCTCCTTGCTCATAATTTTCAACCCAGAAAATTCAGTCCAGTCTCCAGTATTCTTTGTCTTGTGTGTTTTTTTTTTTCTTTCCCTTTGCCCTTCATCTCCTGTTCTATGTCTTGCCTTTCTCCTGACTCTATCTTAACACTGACCCGAAGATTAGAGAATTGATCCTATTTACCCTCAAACCCCACTATGCAGCTACACTCCATTCTCAGTCCTCAATCCAGGCCACACTGGGTAGCACCTAGCCTCAAGAGTTAGCACCAATCTTAAGGCAAGTGTCCTTATGAATTCTACTTAGTGTCTGCAACAGAGAACCAAAGCACTTACTACAGAACAATAGAAGCGAATAATCTTACAATCAGCACCAAATGCACAGGAAAACACCATGCTTGATTATTTAAAAGTACTGCCTTTACTTCTATGCATAAATATTAATGAGTTTTTTTTTAATCTACTGCCTCCTAGTATAAGAGAGGCAGAAATTCAACGCTTATGTGTCCATCTGCCAGATTTTGATGCTTTGCCCCCTTTCTACCTCAGAGGGTTGCCCTTGGGCATCTGCCCAAGCATAGAATCAGAAGTTACCTACTGTTCTACAACCCCACCATCACCCCAAGATGATGACTGACAGCCACAGGAGATTCTCAAGAAGAGACAATAGCTGGGTTATAATTTATGCTCCAGAACCCTCATGGGATCAGAGTCTGTCTGATTTTCACCTAAAATTGCATCCTTATTCAGCTCCTCACCCTTTCCCAGCCTGCAGCTCCCCCCTCCCCCTTCACTATTTTCTCCTGTGAGCACAACCTTAATAAATCACTTGCACTGAAATCCTTAGCTTCTGGCAGAATCCAAACTAAGACGATAAGATAAATTTCAGTCTTGCTGTCAAAAATCAAACTGTTAAAAGAGATTATCTCTAGGTGGTGAAATTCTGGAGTGATTTTCGTGTTTTCCATATATTTTTTCTTCTTTATTTCAAGTTTTATATATGAGTATACATTTGCTTTGTATAAAACCAAGATTAAAAATGCTACCAAAGATTTTAAATAATCACTCATGAAAAGTATTTTTTAAGGACTTGCTTGGACTGCTGATTAAATCAGTCAACAATTCTAATCAACCTTTAACATAGTTAATGAGTGAGATCAAAATTCCAAATGCTTTGAGAACAACCCCTTTGCATGAATCTGAAAATAATAACTGCTATTACAGTGGCATAAATGCCACCAAATCCATTTTATTCTGTCACATAATTAGGCACTCACCTTTAAGTTTATCTTCAAGACTATCTCTAGTAAGAAGTATATGATGATTAGCATTTTTTAAATCCTCCTGATTATGGTATATTTATGACCTCAGGAGCTCTGCAATAGTAGAATTCTTCCATCCTTTCTCATTAAGAGCAGCTGTCTCCAAGTCATCGGTCAAATATAAACAATTTCAAGTTATTTACTAATCACTGTGCTTCATTATCAATTTCTAATCATATATAAAACTCATATCATTAAGTCAAAAAATTGCTGGCCTAAAGATATGCTGCAAGGCAGCAATAATTGCACAAAATTGAGCAAGACTGCTAGGGAAGTTTATTCATGTTGATTTAATAAAAAAAAAACCAGTATGCTAACTTCTATAAACTCTTAGTAGAAGCATTTGAAATGATTTTTTTTTCTCATCTACTAGGGATTACTGAAGCCCTAGAATGATGCCAGTGAAATGGAAATGGATGGATCTCCAGACAGCCTTTTGTCAACTTGGGATCTTTGTTTGAACCATAGAACACAGAAAATTATCTGAGTAATTATTTGCTCAGTTCACCCAAGGACAGAACTTACTTAGCACCACTGTAGATGCCTGGGCAGGAAGTTAATCCATTACGTACATATGGCACCACAGGACATGATGACTTACAGCTTGAGACAGGCTTTCCAGGAAAAGACCAGGAGCTCTCTCATCCCACACTCATCACCCTTTCTCCCTGCCGACAACACCCCAATGTGCCCCAAACTTTTTTATGGCCTTTTATAAATGCTACCTTTTATCAAGGGAAACAATGAGCTCTATTCTGACCAATCTGGCAGTCTCAGAGACTCATCACTTTTTAGTCTGATAATTTGGTCAGATAATTCTGAACTACTCTTTAAAATTCAGAAATAAGAATGATTTCTAAATAAGACAGACATCATCAGAGGTAGCAGTAAAGAGGCTCAGAGAGGAGCCTGTTGAGCCAACCACACAGGTGCAAACCCCAGTGAGCTGACTAGCTATGTGGCTTTGCTTTCTGGGTTCTCAATTTCCTCATGTGTAAAATAATATTAATAGTACCTATACCTCACAGGGTTGTTATGAGGCTCATAGGAGATAATGTTTTTATTTTTTTAAATAAATTTTTTTATATTCCCCATACAATTGCAACCCCCTTATTTTGACCCCAATCCCTCCCCTCCCCGCCCCCACCCTCCATAGAGTGTCTCTGGTTCATAGTTGTTTGTTGATTTTGATTTTCACTTTCTTATAGTTATTCATTTCCCTGGTCCCTTATTTAAGTTTTCTAGATTCCTGCTGTGAATGAGACCATCTGGTATTTTTCTTTTTCTTTCTGGCTTATTTTGCTGAGCATGATCCCTTCCAGCGCCATCCATGTTGCTGCAAATTGCATGTGTTTATCTTTTTTGAATGCTGAGTAATATTCCATGGTGTATATGTACCACATCTTCTTGATCCAGTCATCTATTTTTGGGCATTTGGATTGTTTCCAAAGCTTAGCTATTGTAAACAGTGCTGCTATAAACATAGGGGTGCAGGTGCTCTTTGGAATTGATGTTTCTGTGTCCTTTGGGTAAATACCTAGGAGTGAAATTGCTGGATCATATGGAAGGTCTATGTTTAGTAGGTCCAGAAATCTCCACACAGCTCTCCACAGTGGTTGGACCAGTTTGCACTCCCACCAACAGTGCAAGAGAGTTCCTTTTTCTCCATAACCTCGCCAACATTTGTTGTTGCTAGTTTTTTTAATATGTGCCATTCTCACTGGTGTAAGATGGTATCTCATGGTAGAGATAATGTTTTTAAACTGTTTTCAGTAGTGGCGACAAAATAAATGCTCAGTGTTAAATATCATCAATGGCCCTTTTCTTTGTGCACAAAGTATTCATCTACTAAATAAGTGATAAAATAAATGAAATTCATGACCTACTAAGAGGATGAAATTTACATGCATTCACACGCAAACACATGCATACATGTACACACACACATCCCTCACTTGTGGTCCCTGTCTGCCCAACTTCTTTGTAGATTGTGAAAATAAAACAAGAAGAATGAAAGATGAACCCAAGGGTGAAGAGCTCCTCAAATGTGGCAGCAGAGGTAAGCGCCGCTCTGATAAACTGACATTTAAATCCAGGCCCCTATCTTCACATATCAATCAGCATCTACCTTGATCCTTTCTGATAACATAAATGTGGCCCTTGCTTGAACACCCACTGCTTCTATTCAAAATGTCAAAGTTGCCAGTGGTAAGTGACAATACATAGTAGGAACAAGGATCAGCAGCTGCAGGGGTGAAATTACCTTTAGTCATCCCAGATTCCCCTGAGATAAGGGTGAAAATGAGTGTTTTGAAATCCAAATCACTTCCCATCTTGTCTTCTGTGCAGGGAGGACATGTGTAGCCATGTGAAATAAGAATAGCTCATGTTTCTTGAGGACTTTTTGCTATGCACTACATTCTCCAAATGCTCATTTGCATCCCTATATGGTACTTGTGCAGCCCCAGGTCAGAGACCATCAAATGGGCTGTCCCTCCCAGGCTTGGTTAAAACAGAGAATCATAGCACCCTCACTGTCACACTATACTTGCCACTAAGTAAGGATCCCCTTAGCACAGCAACTGCTGACACAGACCACACACTGCATCACCACCGGACCACCTAGACTCACGCAACATCTGGCAGTCCCAGTGGCGTCCAAGAAAGAATAAGACAATAAAGAAGTTCAAGGGAGTAACTCCTGGGAAAGATTCTGGCAAATGAAAGACAGATGACAGGAATGAGCCTTCCCACACCCACAAAAAAAGATAGGATTCAGGCTCTTCTTTCATTAGTAATTCCAGAAGAGCATCTACGAAGCCTAAGTGCCTCGTTCTCCGCTAGCTTTAAACTGCATTCTTGGGGTCTTCCTGGTGGTGCAAGGGTTTAAGATGCAGCACTATGAAGCTCTCAGCGGCCACTGCAGAATGAGTTCAACCCGCAGTCAGGGAGGTGACCCACATGGTGCGGCAGACGTCTCCTGTCTCGCCCACTGCTCCCCTCAGCAGTGTATTTCAGTCAGTCTACCTGTTCTGCTCCCCACTCTGTCTCTTTTGAATCCTCTCACTCCCTGCACATCTAGCCTATACCCCGGTTCTTGTGTGCATAAATAAATCTTTTTTTTTTTTTTTATAGAGGCATGCTTTATTTATTTGTTTGCTGGTTTGTTTGTTTGTTTTGTTTATACATGCACTGGGTACAGTCAGAAGCGCGGGAGGGTGAGAGAATTCACCAGAGCCAGAGCGGGGAGCAGAGCAGGCAGAAGGACCGAAGTACACTGCTGAGGGGAGCAGCGGGCGGCAGGAGAGGTCTGCGCGCCATGTGGGACCCTCCTCTGGTGGCCGGGGAGCAGCCAGGGATCGAACCGGCGCCGCAGAGGCCGCGGGCAGCTTCGCAACCCAGCGCTCAACCGCTGCGCCACCGGGGAGGCCCAATAAATAAATCTTTAAATAAATAAAATAAACTGCATTCCTTTATTTTCTCCAGAGATGTGATTAAAAGCAAATGAAATAACAAAGTAGGTGTAGGTTGCGAGCATTTGCAAAGATGGTCTATTCTGAGATGTAGAGATTCCTGTGAATCTTTTTGCTGAATATCCTGCAAAACCAGCTGTGCTCTTTATGGGCTGTGGCTGCTACAATGCGTCACCTTTATTTGCTCTCCCTCCTTTCCTTCCTGTGTCTCTCACTCTTGCTTTCCTAGGACAGCACCTCACCCACTCTTTATCCAGGGCTTTGTTTGATATTATCTCCACAGAGAGGCCTTCCCAGGCCACCCCAGCCCAAAACTCTAGCCCTTCAGGCTGCTTTATATTTTTTTTATAGAACACAATTTTTACTTTCTGCATCCCCTACTAGACCACAAGTTCCGTAAAGGTAGGGACTTGCTCCACTGTTGCTGATCCAGAGTCCAGCACAATGCTGGTATGCAGCAGTTGCTAAATACATGTTTGTTGAGGGACTATTGAACGAGATCATGGTTCTATGCATCTTATTTCAAAAAATTCACGGGAGAAGGTAGGCAGCACGCAGAGGCATTTTTCTATCATTCTATCACACAATTGGAAGTAGAGCCATCCACAGCTGGCATCACAGACTGATTCCCCTGACACCAGCTCAAACCCCTTTCCCTGGGGCACTTGCAAACCTCCCTAACTCTCAATAGCTGCTAGCTTCCCTGACCCTTCTCACACCATTGCTTTCATAGTGTTTCCTAAGGTTACCTGACCACAGCTAACCACAAGCTAACAGCACAATGGCAATGACCAGGACCTCCACATTCTAGACTTCAGCCCAGCAGTCCTACCCCTCAGGGACCCACTCAGGCTAATACCCTAGGCAAAACCCACATAGCTCTCTCTTTATCGCCCAGAAGGGATAGGAATCATAGGACTGATACTTACTCGGCATTCCCGACAGCTCTTAGTTAAAATCCGCTGGCCTTCTGCAAGGACTTTTCCTCCATAGATACATTTGGCTGTAATAAAACAGAAAAATGAGTCAAACAGTCATGCTAGGCAACAAATGATCGCAGAGGCACCATCCAAATGCCGACAGATTCCATAAACGTAGGTGCTCTGGTTCTAAGCAATACAAATCTCCGTCTAGGAAGAAGCATCATCACCACCATGGAGTACAACAACAATAGCTTTGAATTAGACTTTCCAGCCGTAAAATGAATGAGTGGGTAAAGGGGCCTGATCCACTCCATTTATCAAAATCTCAGCCACAATGCAGAAGGACACCATTGATTTCCTGTTGTTCAGTTGCCCCCAGACATGACCTTCATTGGGGCCATCATCATCCCTCCTCTTCAGTACATCAGCCTGTCCTAACTTGTCTCCTAGGACCTGGTCTCAATCTCATCCAGTCCTTTCTCATGCAACAATCAGACATGTTGTTTGTGTAAGAGCAAATATGTCCCTGCTTTGAAATTATGGGTCACTAATGTCCACAGAGTACTGTCCAAAATGCTTCATTCAGCATACAGGCAGCTCTACATCTCTCACCCTTCAAAACTCAGCAGTTCCTATAGTGTTACTCACCCTCTCAAACATCCATACCTCCATATATGCCCTGGTCACGCTTTCTTACTTCCAGAATTTGAACACACTGTTCTCCCGGGATGCTCAGCCTCATCCATGGGTGTCCTTCTATCCTACCTATCTATCGGTTTCAATTTAAGCCTGTCTTCCCAAGAAGTCACTCTTGACCTGTAATCCTGGTTAACTGTTCTCAGTGCTTCTCCTGTGCACTGGCCCTACTCCTAATAGACCACACAGCACATTTTATCGCAATTGCCCATTTATTTTTAAGTTGGTTAATTTTTAAATGAAGCACCTTTTTCTTACATCATTGTTAATTTTTGGACCATATAGGGTTTCTCCTCTCAGATGTGGTCACTATAGTTTTCCTACCACCAAAACACCCACGGTCCCTCACCATATCAGCTGCCCACTTAATTATCCATTTCCTCAGCTAACTGCAGCCTATGTAAGGGTGGAGACTACACAATTCATAATTTTGTGTGTAGCTCTAAGCACAGTGCCTCCCTGGGCTTATTATTAATAACAATAAATTTAAATTACAGAGTCTATAATTGGTAGCAAAAAAAGTTAAATTTCCTAATTCCAAAATAAGAGTTCTTTTCTGCTATTTAACACAATGTCAAATATTAAAAGCAAATGCCAAAGGTTTCAGAACAAAAACAGCAACAACAAAGCAGAGAACAGAGAGCTTTTGAGATCAGCTCTTTTCTCCCTTCATTAAATAAAAATATCTCTGATCCTATTTCCTGCCTCAATTTCCTATGTAAATCAGTTGACCCTGACTTACTGGTCCCAATGATGATGTGGATTCCCCAAATTACTTGCATGGAAAACCGCACTCCTGAGGGCCTGGAATTCCTATTCTAGGAACTCCCACACTCCCAAATGCAGCTGCTGCCAACTGGGTGGGATGGCTCCTTCTGGAGAGACGGTTCTGCTAAATGCACTGCTGTCGACTCTGCCATCTGCTTCTTGGCCCAGGTCGGGAAGGAAAGAAATCAGTTTTTCTTTCTCACTGTGCCCCTTGCCACCGCCCACAATGGTATGAGCACATTTGTTACCCTGTCTTCAGATATTTGCTGCTTCCTCTGATAGACTCATCCCAGAACGCCCATCTGGAGACAGAAATGTCTCATTGTTTACATTCACACCACACAGGGGCTACCTCCAGCCCTCAAATCCACCAGGGAGGCATAACAATTAAATGTCCACTGAACTCTATGTCCTCAAATAGCAGGAAGCCTGGGGGGGCTGAGAATGGCGTCAATGCGACTCTCCACGCCTCTGCCACTTGCAGCTTTGGCCCTGATGCGCAACATGTCTGTGGCTTGGACATCAAGTAATCCCATGACATTATCTGAGGGAAAGCTTTCAGGATCAGCACTGCAGGTCCCAAGAACTTCCCCTGCTTTCTCCTCACCACCCCATTCCTCTGTCAGTGGCCCCTCCTTCCCTGTCACTGTCCTCCACATGCTTAACATCCATCCTCATTATCCAACTTCTTGATCTACAGCCAAAAGGCTTATTTTTGATGTCTGAGGAAATTCAAGCATAAGGAAGGTCAGACTCCAGTGCCTTTGGTTAAGGCATTTGGGATCCCCTTCCAACAGCTTTCAGAACGAGTAGAAATGTGAATGCATACCTGAAGTCCTTCATGTCACACTGGGGACATGCAAACTAGACTGTTTCACAGTGCCCAACCATGAAATTGAAACCCAGCACCAACACACATCAACTCACACTTTTCCATCATGCCAGAAACTGATGTACTGGGGATTGAGAGAAATAGTTATTCCGTTGTATCTTTCTGTGCCAAAGACGCCTGGTCCATCAAAAGTGAGGCACATTCCCTAACGCGATGCCTGGACACTGTCACCTCGTAGGTGCACACCAAATCAACAACTCACAGGTGTGACACAGCACCCCTGTGTGATGAAGACATGAGGTTGCTCTTTCTGTATGTAGATATTTGTACCCTGCACACACTCCAGCCTCCCCTCAGCACTCAACAGCTTAGACTATCCAAATCAGTGCTCTGTAATACACTTTCAAGGAGACTGGCAAATGAGAAAGGCTGAACACTCAAAGACCCTTCCTCCCTCAGCACACTCATTCACTTAAGACACCAGCTCCTGGAGGGAAATGCCTGCCTCAAATGGGTGGAAGCTCCAGCATCTCCAACGCACACATGCAAATAATGTGTGTCACTCCCAGAATTACTTCTTCCACCTGCCATAGTTCATCACACTATGAGTCTCCCAGAGGCTCTTGTTTGAAACCTGGAAACTTCTTGCAGGCACTGTCCCCAATTCATCTCTCATGCAACAGATGTATTGTCTGTGTATAGCCATATATATATTATAGAGTAGGTACCTGCCAGGTCCTTTGGCTGTCACTCATACTTAATCCTTCCTAACACCTGCTTCACTACCTCCACCTGGATATCCCTGAATCCTACACTCACACCACTTCTTCCAAAGCACTGGCCTTTGCAAAGAGGCCTCGGTCTTGCTTCTGCCATCAGTCTGATTTAAGATGGTACTTTTTGAATAACAAAGCCAATGCTGCAGTAACTCCCATGACTTTGCACATGCAATTCCCTTTGGCAGGTATGTTCTTATCCATCTTACTCATGTGGCAAACTGCTATCATTTCTCAGCATCTGCTCAGCTATTACTTCCCCTATGAGCTTTCCTAACATACATGCACAGATTTCTGATAAAGTTAGTCACTATTTTCTCTGTATTGCCTCCATCTCTTATATTGTGCATGTTACAAAACTAGGTTATAACAAGACAGTGAGTGCATGTATGTTCCTGGACAGCAGGGTTTAGAGGAGACATGTTCAGAGTATCAGCCCTATGTTTATAGCAGCACTATTTACAATAGCTAAGCTTTGGAAACAACCCAAATGCCCCAAAATAGATGACTGGATCAAGAAGATGTGGTACATATATACCATGGAATATTACTCAGCATTCAAAAAAGATAAACACATGCAATTTGCAGCAACATGGATGGCGCTGGAAGGGATCATGCTCAGCGAAATAAGCCAGAAAGAAAAAGAAAAATACCGGATGGTCTCACTCATAGCAGGAATCTAGAAAACTTAAATAAGGGACCAGGAAAATGAATAACTATAAGAAAGTGAAAATCAAAATCAACAAAAAACTATGAACCAGAGACACTTTATGGGGGCTAGGGGGCGGGGAGGGGAGGGATTGGGGTCAAAATAAGGGGGTTGCAATTGTATGGGGAATATAAAAATAAAATTTATTTAAAAAAAAAAAAGAGTATCAGCTCTGGCGTCGGACAGCTGGGTTTTGTTTGGAATCCACCAAGGTTGAAAGGCCTTGGACAAGTTACTTCTCTTTGAGCTCCACCTCCTCATTTATCAAAGAGGGATAATGGTGGGACCTATGTTTGGGTTGTTGGAAGAACCAAATGAATACACAAGAAGGTCCATAGTGCCTGCAGCTGTATCTGCAGTAGGGACATTGCTTGGGAACAGAAACTCAGTAAGGGATGACTAAATACATTCAGTGGAAAACCATCATCATGATCCAGCCCAACCTAGCTCTGCAGCCTTATCTCCATTTCTCACCTACAAAATCCCTGCATTATAGCAAACAGATTATTTGTCTTTCCCTCTATGACCTCTGTTGCTTTACAGTGCCGTATTACACAGCTCAAGATTCTCTCCATTTTCTTGATCTCTTCCATTTCTGTAGTTCTCAAATAGGGCTTCCAAAATAATAAAGACTCCAGGACACCACTGTCTGGGGACTCATATTTGTCAGTCAGAAATGGACCGTGGGAATCTCTAGTTTAAATTCACTAGGTGGTTCTACTGTGCGTTAAGTATGTTGTATACCTTGAATGTAACAGACACTCAACAAATGTTTGAGAAATGAAACTCCTCCCCCTCTTCCGAGACAACCATGCCCACAGTTAAGGAATGTGGAAGGCTCTCCTGAGTTTTCCCTAATGCCTCCCCAACAGAGGAGTACGCTCGTATCAGTACCTGCTATCTCCACTGTACACAACTACCTTGCTCTTAGGGAAGGCTTAAGATTGGGCCATTTGATTCCAACAGGAGAAAGTACTCTTCTCATGCAATGAAAGGATACATGGACACTTTGGCCAAGTTCATTCCTATTTCCAAACAGATCTCCTGAAGTCCTAACAAGTGAGTAACTTACGAGTCAGCAGAGAAAACAATTTGCTTTTATTTGATCAGCTCCTGAGACAGATCTAACCCTTCCTGAGAATCCTTCAAATAATGCCCCACTCAAACTCAGAGTAGTTTAGGAAATTTTATATAAAAAGGAAAACCAAAGTAACCAAATTTCATTTTCTGTTGTGAAGATATCTGAAAACTTCGGAAATTATACCAACTGGTGTTAGAACTCTGCCTATCATTTCTATCTCCATCCCACAACTCAATCAGTCACAGTGAGCCTCTAGAAGGCTAGCAACATTTAGCTTGTCTCCATGTCTCCAGGGAGAATCCCAGACCTACTAGGGTATCTTCCCCAACCCTCCACCAGCCATCTATCTGCGTTGAAGCAGTACCCCATCTACATGTCTGACATTGCATTTGCCATTGCATTAAATTTTAATGTGACATAATAATAATAATAATAATAATAATAATAATAATATGACATTATTCTGGACACTGTCAATCATGTGTCTAACTTGAGAGCAAGTCCTCTGAAGCAGAGCGGGCCCTTATATCCCTATTCCACTAACCTATATTTAGCTAACTGCTAATTCATGTTTCTATTAATAACTAGCAAGAAGTTAAAACCCTCTAGGCCAGAGGTTCTCAAGCTTTTAAATTACCAGAGATGTCTTGCGATTTTTTATTTTTTTTTTTGCTTAGTGATCTCAATTTATTTGTATTATCACCTCTTTATAAACATATCACACTGCCAAATGGAACTACTGAGAAAAAAGTGTTCAATTGCTATGAATTTCAAAGGCAAAAAAATATATGGGTGTTTTAGATAGCCAATGTATCAGCATCTTGGTTTAAACTGGATTCCTTTCTGAAATACTTAAAATTCAAAACTCTCTAAGGAATTGACTGAAGAAAAAAATAATGACCCCACACACTTCAAATTGACATGCATCCAGGGTCTTGTAAATGTCAATCTATTGTACCAGTAATTCTTCTCTGGAGAATTCTAACTTAAGGAAAAATAAAGTACAAAAATGTTGTCCCTATACCAAACATGTTTTGAAGAGTAATTTACAATTACATGACAATGGGAAACAACCCAGATTAACCAACAATTAGGGGATGCTGCAATAGCATGCAATAGCTAAACAATGGGGCATTGCGAAGTGCATTGGAATGAGTTTATGCAGAGTTATTTTAAAATATAGTAGTACACTTTAGTGACAACAGCAAGTCAACAAAGCATGGTAAAAATTATCTGTACAATATGATCTTAACTGTACACAAAGTATAATTTAAAAAATGATTACTACTAAAATGTCAAGCGTGATTGTTTCTAAGCAGTGGTATTTCCAAGGATGGTGCCCTGCTCTGTGCTTTCTAATGTTACACAATAAGCACAATGCTTTTATATTTAGAAACAATCAAAAGGTTAAAACACAAGACAGTTGGAGGACTCATCTACTCCCTTATCCAAAAGACAACTTCCAAGCAACAGCATTCACAATCACACCAGGGATTTAAATAATGGATTGAAAATAATTCATGTTTTCAGACGAAATTCCCAAATGTTTTCCAACTTTTTTTTGCTGACTGCTATGTCCAGATCGGGGAAAATAATCTGTACCTACTTAAAACTGTGTCTCTTCAGGGAATCAAATTATAATCTCAACATCTGAATACTTTATCTATACTGCTAGACAGGACTTCCAAAATTGCTTGGGACAGAAACAAGAGAGCCTCTCTTTTCAGATCAACTCCAAGTTTTTCCTCCAGAGTAATGGATGTATTAAAGCAACCTTAAAAAGGTTTTAAGTTCCTTTTGAAAGGGTTATATAGAGGGGCCTCCCCTGGTGGCGCAGCGGTTGAGCGCTGGGCTGCGAAGCTGCCCACAGCCTCTGCAGTGCCGGTTCGATCCCCGGCCACGGGCAAGGGTCCCACATGGCGCGCAGACCTCTCCTGCCGCCTGCTGCTCCCCTCAGCAGTGTATTTCAGTCCTTCTGCCTGTTCTGCTCCCCGCTCTGGTGAACTCTCTCACCCTCCCGCACTTCTGACTATACCCAGTGCTTGTATAAATAAATTAATTAATTAAAAAAAAAGAAAGGGTTATATAGAGATTTAGGCTAGGGTGACCAGACTAGCACTCCCCACTTCCAAAGTCAGATTAGGTGACATGCAGTTCTTGAAAAAAGCGAGCCCACTGTGTGCGCAAGACCCAATGATGTTAGTGTTTTTTATAGAGAATTATCTTGAAAATTATCCTTAGGGTGCTACCCTTCAACCAAACACTCCTTTCCTACAGAAGACCATATGATCTGATGAAAACTCGTGCATACATTGTGCATTGTTCTAGATCTCATCTCTGCCACTCACTGGCTTATAAACTTGGTAAGTTAACTTCCCTAAGCATTCATCAGTTTAAGCTTCCTAAAATTAAGGATAGTAATAATACCCACCTAAAGGATTGTGGTAAGGATGCGGTAAATTCATAGAATTAAAGCATCCAGCACAGTAATGGATTGCACAATAAATCACAGCTAGCTGTTACCACTTATCTCAATGATCATTTCACTGTTTCACTTGAAATACTGCCCTTTGCAATACAGAGAGAAAAGAATTTTTAAATCATTAAGTAACAAGCCAACTCTGAAGGATATTGGTTCAGTATCAACTTCATTTCATCCCCAAATTCCTAAAAAAAAAAAGGGCTTTTAATAACAAAATCTGGCCAAGACTTCAGAAAGCCAAAACACAGAATTTGGCCCTTAACTTGACTGATTTAATGAGAGGGAACAAAATACAGAGACCTTGGAAGTCAGGTCGATCCCACCATCACCAGCTGATTTGACCCTAGAAAAGTGACTCAATCTCTGTGAACACCATTTTGCCTACATGGAGTGGGAAGAGGAATACCATTTACCATTGATGTGAGAATGTGTTCAATGTAAAGATTCGTCCATATCACAAGTGATTAAAATGCAACAGCATTTATCACACATTTAATATAATATTAACAGCTAGTGCTTCTTATTAAAATTAGTCTGTGGGGACCTTAGAAACTGGGGAGAGATAAATGTCAAAGCACAGAGGGCCATTCTGCGCCTCTGTCAGTACTTACGTCGGCAGACCTTACAGCACTGGCCAGCAATGTGCACGGGGAGGGAGTCTGGGGAGCAATTGAGAGGGGGGCAGGACATCCTTCGGCATTCCACAGTGCCACTCTGAGAAAAGAAGGACAGAAAAGCAATCTCAGAAGTCCCCTTTGTTGAAAATGCTCACATGTCATCCCAGAAACCTCATTAGGGAACCGGAAGCTGTGTGAGGAATTCCCAGTCTGCTGCAGGACCATGAATAAAGTATTTTCCCAGCCCGAACGAACCCAGGCCACCTCAATTACTTTTCTGATATACATCACTGACTTCATTCCACCTGTCCATGCAGGCTAAGTAGATTAGGCAGAAAACAAAAAGTCTATTTTTACAAGAACATAAATAACACCTTTTGCAGACCCTGTCAATCACTGTTGAGCCTCTAACAATCCATCTTGTATTTTTCCGTACAAACAATGGCATTCTTCTGATATTTATCAAATAATTTCAACTGGACAGGGTTTACATACCAATGATGGAAGGGAAGCTCTTGTAATTCTGTGAGACAGATGATGGACAGCTTGTAAAACACAATCACACCTAAAAACTAATTAAACTCCCTTTTAAAATTTATTCTAGTCCCTTCTCTCTGATACACCAAACTGCAAACAGTAAGCTCCTTAATAACATTAAATCATATTAGAGTATGTTGTCAAGGGAGAGCAACTTTTCATATGCAAGTATTTATATATGAAGTGACACTTTTCCAGCTTCCCTTCACTATGGCTAAGATTACTAAACAGGCACTTAAGTGAAAAGATAATACCTGGAGTCAGCATTACTTATTTAAAAGTCAGATTACATGGTAACCACTGAGATGGCCCCCATACGGCTGATTATTTCTTTCCAAAAAGGCTTACTTTGCACGTGCAGTTCCTGCAGTGGTCACCATCGACCCAGGAGTCCTGGTCTCTGTAGAGCAGGCCACTGACTTGACAGGTCTTCTCACAATGACAGTTTTCCAATTGACTAAGTCTTGTCTCTGCATAATTGAGCTGCAAACAAGAGTCAGTAGGTGTGATCTTGGTAATACCACTGCATTGTCCTAAGAAAGCTTATAGCAACGGAAAAAAACAAGCAGAAGACAAAAGTATTCTGAGCAGCCCACTGATTTTCAACCACATCTGTTTTGGTTATTTAAAAAAAAAAAAAAAAAAAACAAGGTGGAATCATTCTAAATTGAAGACATATTGGCTCCCGTGGTCTAACGAGCACCAAATGAGACATTACACTATCTCAGGGACTCATGAGGTACATAAACATGTGTGCTTTCAGCTCAAGCCCACACAGAAATACTCCATAATGAATGTGTTCTCAAGGACTCGTTACACTGTTTACAGAAGATCTAATCAGGAACTCCAGTGTGCTTACATTTATCTCCCACCACCCTTTCCGTGTTCCAGAGTGTCATGGTGTTCAAAGTGGGAAGAGTGCTTTCTTTCTTAGGGAAGCCACAGAAAGACTTTAGTTTCTCCCTAGCTCAGGTCCTCCAAACAGAATGCCCCCAAGAAGCCACGTGGTGTTCAAATAAATGTCAGGAGACTGGATCAAGAAGGGGTGGTACATATACACAGTGGAATATTACTCAGCAATCAAAAAAGACAAACTCATGCCATTTGCAGCAACATGGATGGAGCTAGAAGGGACCATGCTCAGCGAAATAAGCCAGAAAGAAAAAGAAAAATACTGCATGGTCTCACTCATAGCAGGAATTTAGAAAACCTAAATAAGGGACCAGGGAAAAGATTAATTATAATAAAGTAAAAATCAAAATCAACAAGCAACTATAAATCAGAGACACACTACGGGGTTGGGGGGGAGTAAGATCAAAACAAGGGGGGTGGGAATTATATGGGGACTATAACCAAGATGAAAATGTATACATTGTGCAAAAATGAAAAATGATGTAAAAATATATAAAATAAAAACAGAATGGTAGATAGATAGATAGATAGATAGATAGATAGATAGATAGATAGATAGATAGATAGATAGATAGATAAAAAAGGTCAGGAGGTCAGGAGAGGTCACCAAACCTCTAGGGCATATCAGGATTTTGTAAAAGAACCTTTTTCACTTTTCTAGGTTACCTAACTGTAATCATTAATCATAGAATCTTAGAGTCACCAATTTGAAAGGGACTGTAAGTTGAGTGTCCTCCCAAGTAACTACTTGGAGTGCTTATCCAATCTCCTCTGGCACATTTGCAGTGGTATCTTCTAAGAAAAGCCACTTTTGTGTTAGCTCTGGATGTTTGAAATTTCTTTCTCGATTTGAGCTGTGAAATATCTCGGTCCCTTTTTCCCATTATAACTAGTTTTGTCTGGCAGCTCATTCTGAGCAAGTCCTATCTCTTCAAACTTTCAGCTACCCTGTCTTCAAACCTCCTCTGACCACATGCAGCAGTGCCAGGTTCCCGTAATAGCTCCCCGTGGTATGCTTCCAGTCCTTTTTCCTTATCACTTTCTACTCAACATACTCCCAAGTGCCTTCAAAAATATGGTGCAAAAGCCCACACTTTGGTATATCTTTCTATGGTCACATTCATTCTAAGGAATAACTCAAACCAGTAGCGATACGATCCTTCTTCCCTTTTCCTTACATGGAAACTGCCCTGATTGAAACCATACCACTTTCCAAAAATTGGAATAATTTCCCTTTGCCTTCTGGATCACACCTTTACCTCCAAGTCTTATGTATGTTCCCCATACAGGAGATCAATTCTCTAGTTCAACTAAGACTACTTCAAGCCAATATTTTAGCTATAATGGTTGAACCTGGGTGATAACTCCTACCGTCTCTCCATATTTAATTGTGGCTCCATTCCATACCTGCTCCTTTCAATTGGTCATAACAGGCTACACTCTAAGAAATGGAATCCTTCCTTGATTCCAACTTCAGTTTTTGTCACCTATTTCATCCTTTTCTTCTAGGCTTTTGGGGTTTCTCAAAAAAATATGAGCCTTATTTGCCTTTTGTGAATACTACCAAAGGGAAAACAAATTAAGTAGCACCTTAGACAAAGCACATATACCATAATCAGCTCCCCAAAACAGAATTTTGTTTGTGCCTGAAAACATTAGTTTCCAGTGACACATCAAATATTCAAGAGCTTCCAAAACTTCAGGTAACAGGTTATATTTAAATCTCCACCTAATTATAGAGTTTCTAGAATCGAGGATAATTACCATTTGGGGTAATTAGGAATTTGTTGCGGTCAAGTGACACAAAACATGCAGATAAGAGATACAAAGGAAGTGACAACTTAAATATTTTTATTTCATTTCTATAGTCCCAGTAGCTTCTACATAAGGTTGTGATTGATGTATAACCTTGCATTAAGCAGAAGAGTTGAACTAGATCTGTATTACTCCTAAAAGTGGCTCAGAATGAGGTATTTGTGAGAAAAAATGTGCCTGTCTCACTCTGAAACTCCAGAACTCTAGTGTCTATGGGAGTTATAAAAGACTTAAATGACCCAAAAGACAAATCTGTATCTGTCTAAGTTTCCTGAAAATTCAGAGCTTGCTAAGGGTAATATTGGCAATTTCCAGTACTATCCAACAAAGCTGAGCGACGCGCACCTATAAAACTCAATTCTAAGGAAAGCCTCAGTTTTAATATAATGAAAGCTATTCTCAGGGCTGATTCTGCTTCCCTCTGAACTTTGTTTTTATTTTTTAATATATTTAGCCTTTTCTGACATTGAAAAGCCCTAATCTCTGTAATAATAAAAGTGCATCAGATAAACACAAAGGCGAAGGAATATTAAGGCAAAAAGGTACATTTTCCAAGGCACTTAATATGTAATCTTGCCTTCCTTTTCCCCCTGCTAAATTCTGTAGCAACAATAAAGGAGAAAAACAACTCTGAATCAAAAAATGAATTACATTTTCTGTCATTGGTATTAGCATGCTGAATTTATACAAATTTATTTTCAAAAGCTGTTTCTACACTACCTGCCATTTTCTCTATGAATATCTACAGATCCAAAATAGATATGGTGTCAAATCTACATCTCTATTCTGTCTTAGCTCTGCTCATGCATTTATCTAAGCATCCATGGACCAAATCATTTATTCTGAACTCTACACATTCAGAGATAGACAACAGAGGCTTTTTTCACAGAAGAGGTCAATGAATGGATCTGAGTAGATTAGTTGTGTGATGAATTGCTTTTTCTCCTTTGAAATACTATTTGGCATTTGCTACGTGGAAGAGAGAAAAGAAATCTTCTATTGTGTTAAACCTTTAAGTTTAATTGAAAAATCACTACTGAGCTTTCTGAAACAATGAAAGTCTCAAAATTAAATATGTTACAAGCTGAAATGCCACTCCGAGTGTGGCTTGCTTTGCATAAATAGATATGTCAAAGAAGTAATCAAGAAACTTCCAGTCCCCAGTATCTCTTCTTCCTGACCTTAAAGGTGGAACATTACTACCACACAGGAGGATGCAGGAGCAGGGCAGGGCCTGGCCCTACTGCTATGGTGCAGCCCAGAAGGCAGTGAGTGCTATAGTGCCAAGACTGACTGGGAAAACTTCTGGTAAGACAAGGGGTTGGTGGTCTCTTGTGGATAATTCAAGGGAGGAAGCAAGCGACAGCTTTCTCGTACCTTCTCTGCCTTGAAAAGTATGATTTTCCAGAATGCCAGGATTCTTCGTACTGTGACCTCTGTCACATAAAGTGGGGGAGCAATCTGTTCTAATGATCACTCTCAGGCATTTCCAACCTCAAAGGTGTAAAGGAACACAAAGTCCTCCAGGTCAGACCCCTTGGTGATCTGGTGTCTTTATCTATTTGGTTGATCTGATTTGGGGTACCAACTCCTGTCCAGCCTATGCATTGGGTTTGTTCTTTAGTAAGATGCCATAATTTCCACCTTGACCCAAGTGTGAGGTCCTTTGGCTGCTTTCCAAAGCTTCCAGTGCCTAGCTCCAGACCACCACCATCACAGAAAATGGCAGAGTCTGCTAGACTTGGTGATGCCAAGTCACTGGTGAAGATGTGCATTTACTTAAGGACCATCTTCCCCCCTCACAGCTGAGTATTTTTTCTAAATTTAACAATATATAATTAACAACCGCCACCACTGTGGTGCATGCACCAAACAAGATCTCCAAACCTCAACTGCCTGGTCTCAAGAATATTTGTGAAACCAAGTATAACAATCACCATTTTACGTATGGGGAAACTGCAGCAGGAACAAGTTCACTGATTTTTTCCAGGATACAAATACTCAGAGAAGTGATAAAAATGAGAATTAGAGTCAGCCCAGTCTGACTCTTAAACCTATTTTCTATCTCTTCCAGGATCTATATGACCACCTGCCAGCCTACTCTCACCATAGCTGCTGGGTAAACCAAATCTCCACATCCATCAGTAAATCATGCCACGACAGGTTTATTCTACTAGAGGTGAAACGTGAGTCCAGATAGATTTGGTGCCATACAATTCTTTTTGCAGCCAGGAAATATTTTTGGCTTCTCTCTCCCGATCAAATAATCTTTATTCTACCAAAAAGGTGAATCACACTCCGTTTCCACCAAAATGGCCTATTAGATACTTTACCAATAAGATTATAAACACTTCACCAACTGAACCAACTAGATAAAGTAGGTAAGTAAAACCTCTTTAAAATGATCACAGAGGGCCTCCCTGGTGGCCCAGTGGTTAAGTCTCAACGCTATTGCCACTGCGGCCTGAGTTCAATCCTCAGCCAGGGAGCTAAGCCACATGGCACAGCAGACCTCTCCTGTCTCACCCTCTGCTCCCCTCAGCAGTGTATCTCAGCATATCTGCTTGTTCTGCTCACCACTCTGTCTCTGGTGGATCCTCTCACCCACCCCCCACACTTCTGGCCTACATCCCAGTTCTTCTGTGCAAAAAATAAAATCTTCAAAAATAAAAATTAAAAAATTAAATCATCACAGAGCTGATACAAAAGGAGGAAAGCCACGGTGGTCAAAGCACTCTGACAGCCAGAATCCAGGAGGCAAGTAAGCACTAACGACCATCTATGCACTGAAGGTTCTGCCCAAGGGCTCCAATTTTGAGCACTGTGCAGACATGGCAGCGAGTAATTAGAGAACAGTTTCCCAAAGATGGGGTACCTTAGAGTAAACTCCTACAAAAGCTGGTTCCAAAGGACTGTGCCCTCAGTTTAAGAGTAAACTGAACAGTAACAAGGTTTGCACAAGGCATAGAAAGATCACCCTGATTATACCTTGGCAATGGCTAGAGAAGTATCTTCCTTGAGAATTCTTAATTTTTTGCTGAGAATTCACCTAGCTTTTCCTAGGTTAGCAGTTTGATTATGAACAGTCTCTGGAGTTTGAAAATCCGTAAGGAGATAATGTAATATCAGGAGGTCTGTGTGGTTCTGGGGGATGCACACACACCAGAAGGGTGAGTTCAGAGGCTTTTTCTTGCCCTAAACTTCCTGCTTCAAAAGCTGCCACAAGCACCTTGGTGACTTTTCACTCTCAACAGGCAGCATCTGAACATGCTTCTTCTTTTCCTTTAAATTTGCTCATTCTTCTTACTAATACTGTCATCGTCTTGCTGGTACCATCCACCACTGCTCTCTCAATTAGTTATTCCTTCTTTTTATCTTTGTTTCTCTTTCTAACTACTTGTTTCTCTTCTCCAACTATAAAGTCTATCAGCTATGATTAAATTTTCAGAGCATCGGTTTGCACCCCAGTTCTGCCATTATTATCTTGCAAACGCTATGGAAACTTCTCGCAACTTGGTCTCTCATCTGGCTAATAAAACAAACCTTGCACACAGGATGGTTGTGAGGATCAAAAATTGACAGGTGTGTGAAAAGTTAAAGCATTGTGATAACTCACAGAAGTGCTCAGCAAGTTTAACCTAGTATGAGCAACTCCCCAGTTTCTTCAAGATCAGGGGTTGACAACCAAAGCCACAGGCCAAATCCATGTGTTTCTGCATGACCTGTGAGCTAGGAATGAATTTTATCTTTTACAGTGGTTGTATTTTAAATAATTATATTTAAATAAAGTAAGTATAGGCATTTAAATTTCAGTTTTGCCTCTTGGCCTGAAAAACTTGAAATCTACTAGAAGACCTTTCACAGGAAAAGTCTACCAACTCTTATTCTGGATGATCGTATGTTCCCAACTATGCCGTGAAAATCAAAGTACTTGGTTTTCTAATTACAATTCTATTCACGGTTAAAAAGAAACAGACTTATAAATCTTCCAAAGTACCAGGGCAGGGGGATTTAGAAGGAGGATTAAACCATTTTCTGCTTGCAATTGCCCACAATTAAACATCTTCTGCCTCACAAATGCCCATTTTACATGAAATATTTTGAGGACATAGCACAATGTGGCTCCTAGGTAACATATGGCTAAAAAGAGCAACAGGAAAGAAAGAGAAGAAGGGCACCCTCAAAGCCAGACTGCAGAACTGCAATCACCTGACACTGAGTGGCATGTTTCTTGTTGGAAAAAACTGGTAGCAAGCTAAAATATAATTAATAGCATTTAGGTCAAGCTGCTCCAGACAATAGGAAATAAAAGCCTCTACGTGCCACAAGCTGGGAAGGCAAATCGTTGCCTGCATTTTACATTCTCCCTCTACTCAGAAGTGAAAAGCTAATGTTTCAGCTCTCAAGGCTCAGTTTCTCTGACAAAAGTGTTGTGTCTCTTCTTTTCAGACAAAAGGACAATTGGTCAACTCCTAGTTTGAAAAAGAAATGCTATCTCCAGCCACACAGTCCATAGATTGAAAAAATAGTTCTCCCTCCCATCAACCTACCCACCCATTTTTTTTCCCATATGCCATGGCTGCTGGCAGGGTGCAGTCATAGCTGCAGGTGGAATAGGATTAATGTATCATTTTCACTGTTATTAAAATTATTCCTTTCACAGAGTATAATGTCTCATAGGTCCAACCTAATTCTCTCTTTGCCCTAGGCCGGAACTCATGTCCACGACTGATTGGTATCATAACAACAGTATTAGCCACATTCTCTATTTATTCAGCGCCTTTCTCCACAAGGCTCAGGGCTTTTCATTATGAATCTAATTTTTATGAATATATAGTAAAGCCTCTAATTGTTTACATTTTTCCTTCTGCCACTCGATATGAACATCTCTATGGTAGAATCCACGTCTTGTTCAGCATTGCCTTTGTGCCTGACACAGCACCTGGCAAAGAGCAGATCGTTAAAAGATGCTTATTGAGTGGGTGATGGAGAAGAGAGAGGCAGAATGATAAAACTCAAGGCATTGACAGGCAAATTTTGCCTCCTTCACTATTCAATTCAGGACCAGTTTTGAAATGAATCATAGTAGAAAAGTGACATAATGCCTTCCTGTGACAGTAATCTGTTCCTAACAATAGCTATTTTGCCCCTTCTGATTATTGGCAATTATTCTTACATCCAAAATGCATTAGCATATAAGCAGCAGCAGCACTGACCATGTATCATCTTACAGTTTTACTAGTGTAATAGCCAATGGGCAAGTTCCTTTCCACTCCCTGGAATCTACAGTGACACATATTGCCTCTTTACTCTGCACATTTTTCAAGTAAACATTCTGATACAGCCTAATAGTTTCAAAGACGTAAATGGTTATGTTTACTATAGATATTCCTATTTCAAGTAAGGATAAACCATTTTTATAGTAGCATGCTGCAGATGCCAAGGCTAAAAATATTTCCATTATAACATATCACTCTAAATTCCAGATAGGATAGAGAAAGAAATGAAATATCTCAAGCAAAATTTAGATACCTACTTTTGCAGTCATCTTGGCCAAAAGCTCTTGTAAATCCATTATTCCTTGCACCAAGCTTAAGAAATCACTGCAAGTTGGGCAAGCTCAATAAAGAAAATATAAAATAAATGTTGATACAGTGCTAGTATAAGAAAGCACAATTTCAAATAGTAGGTATTTGTCTATATAGAAACATTTTGCTTTTTTGGTTAAGTAACACTTTGCAATTGTAATGATATCACAGAGGACTTCAATTCTAGACCTCTTTCTTCTATTAACAAGCAAAAAGAAAAGAACAGGAAATAAAGACTTAACTGAAAAGGCAATATGACACTTTTAAATTAAACCCCTGCTTTTTATTAGAGTTGACTAAAAAACCTGAATTATCATACAAGAGGAAAAGGTAAACTCAAATCAGGGCAATGAGTTTAAAGAATAAGAGGGTTTTTTTTTTAAAGTTTTATTTAACATTTTAAAAATATGTTTATATTCAAAATATATTTAAGTATCAGAACCAAATTGCAACTATAATACTTTCCTTACCTTTAAATTTTAATTCTATAAATGCATAGGTTTTTAAATGATTCAAAGAGGCAGAAATATCTGGTATAAACTAAGTTCTCACTGTTTTCCCCACCACCTCAGAAGTCAATACTGTAGTTTGCATATATTATTCCTGATATGTTACTAATACTATCACTTGCATAATATTAAAAAGTTGCCAATGTTTTAAGTTGCTACTTACTGCGATTCAGGTTCGGACATTGTGTTATATGTCCATTAGGCATAAAGATGATTTTCCCATCTTGGATGATCCCCTTGAAAACAGAAGAGAGAGGGGTGATTAAATTTTTTGTGAAACACTTCAAATGGCCCCTGTGTGCAGTCACATACTCTGCAAAGCAGATTATTTTCTTTCAGTAATTCAAAAGGTGAGTTGTCCTTAGTTCACATTGAACATCCCAAAACCACCCTCTTCTGGAAAGCTTGACCTGCAATTCATCAGGAGAAAGCTACAATTTTTTATCACTGGTTGATGTAAATGATCTCTTAGCACAAAGATTCCATCAGTAAATATCCTTAAACTATCAGAATAAAACCCACTGATGCAATAAAAATTATCCTCAATTCTGTAGTCATCTTGGAGTATTCAATATTGATGTGTAAGACTTTTTCTTATTAGAAGAGGAATGACTCAAGTTCTTTTCATGCTGGATGAGAAGCTGGAAGTCCTCTTATTTTTAACAATCTATTTTTTAAAAAGCTTTATTGGAAAAAAAGGCTTTATTGAAGTATGCAGGATTCCTTTTAAAGCAGGAAGAAAGATAATGGAAACATATTGGGGTATAATGCCCCTACAGATTCATTTAGCCAAGTAAATAAAATTAGACATGGGGGAAATCCCATGACCATCTTGGTTCTCAGATAATTGAGTAACAGGTGTCTTTGCTGGTGTGTCAAGATTGCTCAGCATCTCACTGTGAGTAAAAGGTGGCCCTTTAATTCTATAATTTAGTCTGTAAAACAGCACCATTTTAAGGAGTCATTGGGGCTGCCATCTCTCAATGAAAATATTGACTTGGCTTTTGGATTTTTTTAAGTAGAATTTCAAGATTCTGTTTTAGGGTTTGTTTTTTTTTTTTTTTTTTTCCCTGATTTCATGAAAGAGATTACAGAACAGATGGAAGATGTGGAAGCTGGTTCAGAATATTGAGTTTAATCTATAAATAAAATATAGGCCTAAGACAGTGCTGCAAGTCTTTCAGAGGGAGTAACATTTAACATTTATGTGCTCATCATCTAAACAGCAGAAGGTAATCAGCAAATGCTGTTTTCTGCTTATTATTGCAAGATAAAATATTAATTGAAAATATTAATAACAACAACAGGATCACAAAACCTCTTCCTCAGAGTTAGATAAATTTGTTAACCTCTTCGTCTCCAAGGCTGATGCAGTGTTTGTGATTACAAGAGACAGTCTCCCCACAGGAAAGAAGTCCCTACTACTGCTCCTCAAAATTAATTTGTAATCTCTTAGAGGGAAAATCTAGGCAACAATTAACGGTGCAAAATCTAACCAAATTACCTTCTTCTTGGTGTGAAGTTGCTCAGTTTTTGAAAACAAACTTCAAGAAGTCAGTGTACCTTTCAAATACTTTTGAGAAATTTGAGAAAAGCATGGAATTAGATGTTAGGAACCTGATTCAAATTCTGAATCCACCTCTAGCTAACTGGAAAAACTTAGGTAATAAATCATCCAATTTCTATGAACTTTAGTTGTTCTATCTGGCAAAGTAATGCTGGGTGCAAAAAAGATTCTTCCATCACTCAAGTTCCAGGTTAACGATCTAGACATCCACACCTAAACTGTCGCAATTTAGGTATACGTTTTCACTACTTTTCAAGTTTTAAAAATATTAATCTGGGACAAAGTTATAGCTAATCATCAAAGAACACACTATTATAGAGAACTCCGTATCACTTTACAAAATATCTAACTCACCAAGTTGACTATGGATGAATTAAAAGTGACCAACCCACCCACCCTCCCATGCCTCTGACCTGTACCCCAGTTCTTGTATAAATAAATCTTAAAAAAAAAAAAAAGTGACCAACCCAGAGTTTAAGGATTTCACAGGACATGAAACCATTAGTGCTAAAACAGATTCGTGGGCAAATGGAGACAGTGAGTCTAGGCAACACAGGGTCATTGTAGCACATGTGCAAGGAATGAATTGAGTTCATCTATTGCCTGCTCATTAGAGGAACCTAAGCCATTCTTATTTTTATGTCATAGAAATGGCACTCAAACCTTTAGTACATTTGTTACAGTATTAATTACCTTTCCAAAAGTGAAAATGCATTTGAAAAGGATATTCTATCCACTCATCCTGTAGCAATATAATGTAGTACAGTCATTTTCCTTTTGTGTTTAAGTGACCACTGGCTTTAGTCATGTTATAACAAATTCTTTTTCTCACACCTTTCTTGCCTGCCTCCTCACTTCTGTCCTTCCATGTTTAATCTCTGGTGCACATATGTGTGCTATACAGGTCATGAGGTAAAAGTCAATGATATTGACTTGAACAAAACAGAAAAGATCTGACATCGTCTTGATGCACGTTAAGAAAAATAATCAAAGTACTTGACATTTTTTCTAAGGAAAAGTCATAGGGGTCAGCCCACATACTGGCATAAAGAGTTGTTCTTGCCAAATGAATCAAGATGGGAATGTTTAATTCTAAGAAATATATTCACCCCCATTTAATGCTACCTAATTAAGAATAGTAAAGTGCTAGAAACCACCTAAGTGCCCAATGACTGACAAATAGCTAAAGAGGATGTCATATATATACAAAATGGAATACTATATAGCTATAAAAAGATGAAATCCTTTCATTTGCAGCAACATAGACCTAGAAGATATCATGCTTAATAAGTTAGATAGAGAAAAGCAAACATTCATATGATTTCACATACGAGATAAAGAGATTGACTCAATAAGCTTTTAGACTATAATACCAATTAATGGTTACTATTGGGGAGGGGATAGAAAAATTGGGAATATGGGGACAATGGTAGTGACAAGACAGAATTAGAGTTTAGCAATAAACTTAATTTAGTATACACATTGATTCTCCTGATGCATACCTGAGACTCGTACCTTATAATGTCATAATGTAATAGTACTTCAAAAAAAGATGGAAATGTTAATTTATTAGACTGGATATAGTTTCAAATTGGATTAAAAGAAAAGTACTATATACTACACAATACCAGCTGTAACCCAAAGATTTGAACATGTGTATATGGTACATGTAAACACATACATGTGTGCATGACCAGCACCTTCCCCCACTACAAGAGCCAAAAGGTCTTGCATTGTGCTGCCATCTAAGTGATTTGGTGCCTGGACATTTATCAACAGGAGAATCGTTTGTTAAGCATCCATTGGTTCAAAAACTAGTCCCCATACAGCAAGTCCTTGAATAACAACATTTAGTTCAATGTTTCACTATAATGTGAAGAACTAAAAATCAATTCCTGGCCAGGGCCACTGTGTGTGGAGTCTGCACTTTCTCCCCACATCTGCACAGGTTTTCTCTGGTTCTCCAGTTTCCTCCCACACCCCACAGATGTACACAGTAGGTTCATTAGTGTATCTTAATTGTCCCTGTGTAAGCACGCCCTCAGATGGGAAAGGTCTCCTGTTGAGAGCTGGGTCCCACCATGAGCCCTGACCTGCCAGAATAGGATCTGGCCTTCTGAGACTCTGAACTGGGTGGGTTGGAAAGTAATGGCAACTATTAATATTAGAAGTGTTTGCATCTTTATTTAGAGGTTTGGTGATGCTTTTCTGGTCAGGTATAGGCTGTGGGAATTTAGCTCTCATTTCTATCAAATAGCCTAGAGTTTGATTTCCTCATATCATTTCACTAAAACTTGTAGTTTCCAAAGACCTATTAACCTTGAGTGAAGATATGTCCAAGGAGAATAAGCAGAGAAGAGACAGACCACTCAAGAATGGTAGGTGGCATTTTTGAGAAAAGAACCTCCTTGTAAGGCTTCTCTTGGGTGAGCCTGCAAATGAGCAGACCGCCGTACCTACCCTACATACAATTTAATAGCGATCTTAACTGAGTTTAGTCATATATACCATCCAGATGACCTCAACACATTCTATGCCAAGGCTGTGTCCTCAAGGAAGCTTCTGTGTGGGTAGGGTGAGCAGAGCATACAATGCAAGGATGCAGAGAAGATAAGGAGCTTTCAGTAGCCCCGGTTCAACTCACATGTCCACCAGATGACATGTCCCCCTTGAGAACCTCCTCCAACAGCACTCTAGGTTTCATTAGAAAGTTTAAAAAAGGAGTTTTATAAAGTATAAAACTATAAACTACCAAAGTAGCTCAATCTGTCTTATTTCTCCCAGAAATATTACCTAGGAGAATTTCCATAGATGAAAATGTGCCCTCAAGCACTGCAACTTCTCCCAAAGGAGAAGAAATAACGGATAAAAAGAGAACTTCCATTACTTATCATTTAACTTGAAATGCATCTATACTTAAAAAAAAAAAAAAAAGAAAGAAAAGAAAAAGAAAACAGAACTCTAGCTGCTCTGTACTAGACTGACCTCACTTGATCTTTTATTTTCAGACCTATGCTTTATTTTGTATCATCCATCATGGCAATATTTCTCAAACTTCAACTTTCTTGACAATTACACTTAGAATTTAAAATTAAGATTCTTTGGTCAACCCCCAGATCCCATTTCAGTAGGTAGGGATAGAGTGAGTCAAGAAATCTTCCATTTTATGGGCCTCCCCAGTGGCACAGTGGGTTGAGCATGGCGCTGTGAAGCTGTCCACAGCCTCTGCAGCGCGGGTTCGATTCCCAGCCAGTCAGGGAGATTCCCACATGGCGTGGCAGACCTCTCCTGTCCCAACCACTCCTCCCCTCAGCAGTGCTCTCGCTCAGTCTCTGGTGAATCCTCTCACCCTCCTGCACCTCTGGCCTGTACCCCAGCTCTTGTATAAATAAAATAAATCTTTAAAAAAAGAAAAAGAAATCTTCCATTTTAAATGCTTTCTAATGTGAATCTAATGAAAGGTACAAGGACCACACTGAAAAACCCTGCTCTAATGCCAAGCAATTTTGTCTTGGAGCAAGAGGTTTTACTCACTAAAAGTTCACAGTGCTAAAAATAAAACATCACAAACTTAAATAGAAATTGAGTAAAATCTCACCAGTTAAGAACTGAATAGCAACTAATAGAATTACTAGATAATAAACACAGTAAAGACAAAGATTCTGTATT